ACTAAAATTTGATGCTATTTACCACATTTTTTGCTTTCAGTCGATGAAATTAAAAAAAATGTAAAAATTGTGGCGCTTGACTTAGTTGCAGTTTTTTTATCTTACCCTGTATTCCCTCGGTAGCCTGAGGCTGAGCGTAAAAATATACAGCTAATAGAATGTAGTACCCATTACAAATGTTAAATTCCAAATTTGAAACAAGTCCGGTTAATAATGGCGATAAAATTGTCAAAATACCGAATATAAGAAGGTACAGGAACCTATACGAAGACTTCGACCTGCGTGAGCAATTTTCTGCCATAGGATGCAGTACCCATTTGGAAGTTCAAATTCCAAATTTGAAGTATTTACGGTTAAAATTGTAACAAAAATCATTAAAATATAGAATATCTTGAGCTACAGCTATATGGGAATACAACAAAATTCAGACCCATATTGACAGTTCCATGGAAGGATGTTTCTTATAGAATGGGAACACATATTGCCAATTTACTGCGAATTCAGACTAAAGCTGTGACTATAACAATCAAAACACCTTAAATCTGGCGGTACAGTTAATACGGTAATACTAAAACGTGGACCTACTTGAACAATCAAAAGTGGATTTTTAAAGAATATTTTTTCAAGAACTAACAAAACGTGGATTTTTGAAAGAATATATATATTTTTTTAAAAACTAGCTAAACATGGATTTTTTAAAGACTAATTAAACGTGGATTTTTTAAAGAATAATTTTTCAAACACTAATTAACGTGGATTTTTTTAAGTATAATTTTTCAAAGACTAATTAAACGAGGATTTTTTAAAGAATAATTTTCAAAGACTAATTAAACGAGGATTTTTTAAAGAATAATTTTTCAAAGACTAATTAAATGAGGATTTTTAAAGAATAATTTTTAAGGACCAATCAAACGTGGATTTTTTAAAGAATAATTTTTTAAGGACCAATCAATCGTGGATTTTTTAAAGAATAATTTTTCAAAGACTAATTAAACGAGGATTTTTTAAGGAATAATTTTTTAAGGGCCAATCAAACGTGAATTTTTTAAAGAATAATTTTTCAAAGACTAATTAAACGTGGATTTTTTAAGAATAATTTTTCAAAGAGTAATTAAACGTGGATTTTTTAAGAATAATTTTTCAAAGACTTATTAAACGAGGATTTTTTAAAGAATAATTTTTCAAAGACTAATTAAAGAAGGATTTTTAAAAAATAATTTTTTAAGGGCCAATCAAACGTGGATTTTTTAAAGAATAATTTTTTCAAGGACCAACTAAACGGGGATTTTTTTAAAAAGATTTTTTTCAAGAACCAACTAAACGGGGATTTTTTTAAAAAGATTTTTTCAAGGACCAACTAAGCGGGGATTTTTTTAAAAAGATTTTTTCAAGGACCAACTAAACGGGGATTTTTTTAAAAATATTTTTTCAAGGACCAATCAAACGTGAATTTTTAAAAATATTTTTTCAAGGACCAATTAAACGTGAATTTTTTAAAGAATATTTTTCAAGGCATTACAAACGGAATGATACGGAATGATAATATACCCTCCATACTATAATTCAGGGTATAAAAAAACTACCTCTGCAGTCAGAGTTCCTAGCATTAGGTTTCGTAAATATTTTTTTAGCTTCCCTTAGCATTTATGGCCATTGTACATTTCTTTCAGCTTAAAAATATGTAGATTAAAAATGTAAATGAAATCGAAAACAACATTTCCAATCAAATAACAGCTCCAGATTTTGACAAGACAATTTTGTTCATTCAAATCTCACGGCCATTGAGTGGACCACACAATGAAATCTATTCTCCCTCTCATTTAAAATCCCCTCCACTTCTGCTTTACAACAAAAACAAAAATTAACGGCAGCTATCAACCTCTGAACTTTACAACACGTACCTTCATAAAGAACAACATGACAAACAATCACGGTGATAACGTGATTAAAATTTTAAATAAATAACAAATCGATTTGACATCCGAGATTTTCAAACAGAAATGCATTTTACAACAAAACGAGAAGTAAAAGAAAAATTCACATAATCCAATAATAAAAAACTGAAATAAAAACTTGTTTGTTTTAAAAATAAACAACAACAACAATCTGATACCTTACATGTCAGCCGAGTAGAAGAAAACCAAAAAAAAAATTGAGGGAAATTCATAAACTCATCCAACGCCACAAAGGCAAACATAAAACGATGAAACGCTTCATTCACACCACATAAAACAAAAACAACTACACTGTTGGAATCAGAAAAACTCGGGAAAATTTATGAAGAAAAAAACTTGAGAGAAAATAAAAAAAATCAAAAACAATAAAATAAATCTCAAAAAACAGAACAGAACACAACGGACCAGAACATATGTAAACTGAAGACCTAAACCGAAATTATGTCGACGATGATCAAAGGAAGAAGATAGCCATCGTTTGAAATAAAAAGAAAATGTGTTAGGATTTTTGTTGAATAATGATTTTTATAACCGGGAGAGCAGTGTGTAAGAGGGGTGTTATAAAAAATGGAACATGGTGTTAGAAATTTTTTTTTTTTAAAATTGAAATATTGGTAACAAATTCATAGCCTTTTTTTACTGACATTTAAAATTAAATTCATTTTTTTAGACATCGTGAAATGTTTATACGCTACACCACACTGTGGTCAGGGTATTATGTCTTTCTGCATTTGTTTGTAACGTAGAGAAGGATACGAGTTAGACCCATAGTTCCTTTTGATGATCCGTCCGTCTGTACGTCCGTTCGTCTGTCCATGTATTTTTGCAAAAAAGTATATAAGTATAGTATGGGAAAATTTGCACAAATCATTTGTTTGGCATAAGGACGAACCCTATTGAAATTGGAGATTATCGGTCAACATTTAGATATAGCTCCCATATATATCTTCGTCCGATTTGCCTTTTATTGTGCACCAAATGTGAAATATTAGTCGAAATTGGATGAAATTTGGCCATATACGACCAAATTGGATCTAGAAATAAGTATGACGAATTTGGTGGAAATTGGTTCAGATATAGCTGTAGCTCCATTATACATCCGATTTATTATTTTTGTCGTCCATAGCTATAATATGCACTCCACAACAATGATATTCGGTGAAATATATCAATACAGCTCAGTAATGTTTTTGCCAAATTTTATCGACATTGGGTCAGATTTGGATATAACTCCTATATATGTCTTCTTCCGATTTCATGTTCATTGTGCTTATAAATGGAATATCGCCTCAAATAGAATCGATTTTCAATGGGCGTAATATTGTTAATTTAGTTTTAGATTACATAAAAGTTTCGCACAGCTGCCTTTGAAAGCAACTACAATGCACTGAAGATTTTTCGGTTTTTATACCCTCAGCCACATGGCTACATATTTGATACTACCAAAACATGTCTCATCGAAATAACGGTTTCCCAGCCAGACTGACTTAGACCCTAAGTCTCTTTGGACCAAATCCGTTTCAGGATATTTGTGGTTAATACGATAACTCTGGAAGGGAGTATCCCATTTGGCTCAAGCTTGGTACTCTGTAAAATTATTGTCAATCTTAGATCGAGTTCGGAGATGGGCAATATCGATCCACTCCTCCTGGTACCTCCCCCAAAAAAGTGTAAATTTTTCAAAAAAAAAAAAAAAATATTTTTGAACCAATTTTGCAAATCCTAATAGATCTAGTATTCAGATGGAATATATCGGTCCACTCTTTCTGGTACCTCCCCCAAAACAGGGTCAAAATTTTCAATATCCATTAAGCTTATAAAACGCGGAATTAACACCCAATTCCATTCAGACTTGGCACATCTCAATATTTCTATCAGTGCAAAATATTTTATAAAGATGGTAAAGATCGAACCATTTCTTCTTGTACCTCCCCTACAGAGGGGGTGGTTTTAATAACCAAAATGATTATAAAATCCGAAATAAGCATTCATTTTTCTTTATATTACACACATCCCGTTATTTCTGCTTATACAAGATCTGCTGTGAAGATATATCGACCCACTCCTTCTAGTACCTCCCCCACATAGGTCGAAATTATAAATATATATTTCTCTGCACAGAAAGAGAAAGAATAATCCGATTTCGCTCTTACTTTGCAAATCCTAATATTTGTATTAGTGCTAAGTCAGGTCAATATCGATTGACTCCGTCAAGTACTTCCCACACACAGGGTCAACATTTTGAATATCCATGAAGCTCATAAAACGCGAAATTAATACCCGATTTCATTCAGACATGGTACATCTCGATATTCCCATCAGCACAAAATTTGTTATAAAGATTCTTCTGCTGCCTCCCCCACATAGGGTTCAAGATTTTGAAACGCTCAAAGAAAGCAAAATAAGCATCCAACTCCCTTCGAATTTCACACATACAAACGTTTTTGTTAACCCAAAATCTTTTGTAAAAAGATATATATCTGCGAAGAGTCACAATTTTCAATACTTTTATCGGTCATAACTTGCGAAATAAGAGAGTGATTCTTTACAATTTGCTATATCTAAATATTTATCTCAACCAGAAACCTGATTTGAAAATAGAACTTATGATTTCGCATAAAATTTGATATAAATGTACGATTTTCTTCCAATTTTGTCAATACCAATATTTTTATCTGCATTAGAGGAAGTATGAAAAAAATTAGGTGGGTTTTTCTAGTACCCCACTCACATTTTAATATTTTTCAAAAATGATCACAGATGTCATATAAAGTGAAGGAAGTAGTCTATATAGTCATAACCTGGCAAGACGGAAGATTTATATCATATTTATTTAGGCCCAATATGAAATAGGCAATATTGGCTTATTCCTTCGGAACCTTTCGGAAGAGGTTTGAATTATCATAACAAAAGTCAAAATATATTAAAATAATCGAACGCTGCCTGAGGGTACACATCTGTCGGCAAAATCGACTGATATTTGTAGCATGTTTTTTGTTTTTAATTTTTCTATAACACTCTTAGGAAATATATTCTAAAACTTACCTTTTCAGTGCAACGGATAAAAATCTGAAATTAAATTAAAACAAATAATGTTTATATCTCAATTACATAATTTAATTGGAAGAAATCCTTCAAAAAGGTAGAGCATAAAATTTGGAAATGGCTTACTTTTTATTATGGCATCCATACACGGGTAAATCTCATTTTGAATATTTTTATGCCCTCCACGGTATGGAGGATATATTAAGTTTGACATTCCGTTTATAACACCTCGAAATATAAATATGAGACCACATATGATTAGCATAAAATTCTATGTCGATTTAGCGATGTCAGTCCGTCTGTGGAAATCGCTATAGCTTCCGCACGAAATAAATAAAGTAAGGTTGATGAAATTCCACTCCGATGTGGTATGTAGGATTTTTTGTATTAAAATTCCATATAGGGTCATATTTTGTTAGCCGCCATATAATTGTACCGACATATTTAAGGTTTTTTATGGGATGTTTTAGTCACAATTTTAACCCGAATTTGCTATAAATTGGCATCATATATTCCCATTATGTTAGAAACATCCTTGCATAGAACTGTCAATATATAGGTTTTGGTATAGTCCCCATATAACTGTACCTCCATATATTCGGCATTTGGATGATTTGTCACACTTTTCACGGGAAATATTTCTAATTAGGAATTTGAAGATCCAAATGGGTACTACATCCAATTGCTCAAACCGGTCCACGTGTCTGTATAGCCCAAAATATAACTCCACCTCCTTATATTCAGTATTTTGTGTTTCGTACTGAGTATCAAAAACTGCATAAGCAGGACCACGACTCCTTAAAGGCTCCAACTTGATGGAACTCCTTAAATTCGGTATTTTCTGATTCAGCAGTTTTTCAATGTTTTTTTTTTCTGGCAATAGATCAGCAGATGAATTGGCAAGACATGGATTCGGGTATCAAAAACTGCATATGCAGGACCGCGCCTTCGTATAGGCTCCAATATGACGGAACTGTCTATATCCCGTATTTTCTGGTTCAGCAGTATTTTTCAATGGTTTTTTTTTTTTGGTTCCAGCCTGTAACCTATCTGGCAATAGATCAGCAGATGAATTGGCAAGACATAGATTCGGGTCAATTGAACGAAGATGAAATTTTGAAATTTTGTATTGTATTAAGAGGTGGCTTTGAAAACGAAAAGTACTAAATAGTACTATTTTTGGAACAATTTTGTATTCGGTGAAGATATAGTGCTTGCAAATCTGAAATATGGTATTAAGTCGCTGTTCATGTGTACCCAGGACATATGGAGGAGTTTTGGGAAATATGTACTATAATTATACAAAAACTACTAAATATGATATTGGGTGAAGGAATAGGATTGGAATCCAGAAATTTGATATTGAGGTCTCGTTTGGTATGAAGCGTAAATTTAATATACCCTCCATACTATGTTGGAGAGTATAATAAAACTCTTGGTCTTCTATGGAAAAATGTGACTTTTATTTATATGTAAAAGTCTTCTAATGGGGCCTTCTTTTTTCAGAAGACCTCAAAGGTGCCTCTTTTTTTTTTTTTTGTTGAAAAATATATATTTTTGGGACTTCAATTTAAAGAAGGCATTAAAGTATCTTCTGTGAACATGAAGCTTCTAAGGGGTAACGATCTAAAGAAGATCCCAAACTGCCTTTTTTAAATAAAATTGATGGTATTTAATTTATAGAAAATCTGAACTATCTATAGAGCACCTTAAAGGTCTTCTATCAATCAGAAAAAGGTCTTCCAAGCCAATTTTCATAAAAAACTTCAACTGTGTGCTAAGCTAAGAGCATTCAGCCAATTCACGCAATTTATGTTGCCTAAACATCCTTACCACACACATCTTAAATGTCCTCCATGAATTAAATGTCAAACTTAAGAACAAATTAAAAATGTTTTAATTATTATTTTAGCTATAACTGAAAATAGCCACCCCTCATTATTATTCTCCACAAAATCGTCCATTATTTTGCATTAAAAACCAGCTGTTGATGCATAATTTAGGATTTCATTCATTCATGTACTCGCTGTTTGGCTTCAAGAAGTAGAAGTATCATAAAATGAAAAGAAATCATAAATTTGAATTTTCGGAATATTTATGACAATCCCAGTGAAAAGAGTTGAACTCCAGAATCCATTTGTGCATCCCATCATCCAGTCAGACGTTCGTTCATTCGTGGCCCCAAAAATAGAAGCAAACGTTCCGCTCTTTGTCTGTGATCTGGCTGTTAGCAGTAGTAGTTGATGGCCATTAGTTGAGCATATAATGAGTGCAATGTGTTAATACCACCCCCATCCCCACCTCCATCGCAACATCTTTTATGGATCGTTTATGGGGCCGGCGTTTTTTTCGTTTTTTTTTTGTTTTTTAATGCCTGTCTACAAAATTCTGTCCAAAACAAAAGCGACCTAGCTGGCGAAAAACGCATAATTTTCGTTTCAAGTGTAAATGCATTCCGTTTACGAGCATTTAATTAAAGCCAACATAATTATGCTGTAATTTATGTTGTTGCCGTTGGCGTTGTTTAAAGGTTCGTCTTGTTCTGAATTGAGTGTAAGGAAATGGAGGGGGAGGAAGTGAGAACACAACATTTAATGTAGTTTGACTTTGTAGGTCCCCGGTATAACCACCAAAATTGAAAAATTGATTTAAAATCAGATTGGATATTCATTGAATATTGACAAGGTGACTGACATGTGTCCGCTACATCGACAGCGACAAGTCCACCTTAAAATTTTAGATTCGTTCCAACAGTTCATGTTAGGCCTTTTAATTATTAAATTAGCACAATTTGTTCAGTTTAACAAATGTTTTAAATCAAAACATCATACATCGTTCTACTTTCAAATATTTACAGGGTGAGAAGAAAAAACTGCAACCTAATTCAGACTGCTGTCATTTCTAGGCCAATCATCCGATAGCTGTTAAAATTATTTAAGTGACAGCTCATAATATTGTTTACAAGCGTACAAAAGCATTTTGGTGAGACTTTTCCAGAAAAAAAGTTATTCGTGATGGAATTCAAGCGTGATTTCTTTATATTTGGCTGGAAAACCACAAGTGGCTATCGTTAGAGCACTCCAGCATTTAAATGTAAATAAATCTTTTGTCTCTCGTACCATAGCTCGATATCGTGATACTGGTAGCGTAGCCCGATGTTAAGGAAGTGGAGGGAAGAAAACAGCAACATCAGCAGAAATGGTTCGAAAAATGACTCGTGAGCTGAACATATCGCAATATTCCATTCGGCAAATATTGAAAAATGAGCACGGGGTAAAGCCATTGAAATTTCAAAAAGTGCAAGGACTTACACCGCAATAGAAAGAAAATAGACTAAATAGAGCTAAAGAGTTGCTTCACTTGGCCGAAAGTGGTGAGGAAACATTCGTTGTCCAGCAGTTTGTAAACAAACAAAATGATCTTATTTACTTGCCAAAGAGGTCAGCTGAAAATGTGCACCTTCGGTTGGCCACCAGCGCCGGCCATTGGAATGGTGTGGGCCGTCTTAACAGCCGATGGTCGCTCTCCGCTCGTATTAGTCGGCCGTGGCATCAGAATAAATGCCAATTATTATCGCGAAAATAATCTGGAGAGTAGCTGCAGACCGTGGACAGTCCAACAGGACTCAGCGCCATCGCACTCAGCACGTGCCACACAAGAATGGCAACAAAATGAGGTTCCTCGCTTCATTTCCAGCGCACAATGCCACCAAAATCTCAGGATACCAATCCGCTGGACTATTGTGTCTGGAATATTTTGGAACGCAAGGTTGGCACTAAAAAATACCAAAGTGTCGATCACCTCAAGCAAGCGCTTCGCCGGGAAAGGGGCCAAAATACCGCAGAGCAACATTTGGGCATCGTGTGACGGTTTCATTGGCCGTTTGAAGGCCATAATTCGTGCCAAAGGTGACCAATTCGAACAAATCTAAACTTATTCTAATATTTGATGCTTTTTCCGAAATTTTTTTGCTTTTATTCAATAAAATTTAAAACAAGTAAAAAAGCTGTAAGTTCGGCCGGACGAACTTTGAATGCCGTCCACCATTTGGAACGAATTTGGCAATTCTCAAAAACAATAAAATCCATTAAAATTTTTGTTAAAATCTTAAATATACCGAATGTAGCTTTTTATTATTTATACGACAACATGGACCTTCCTAGGTAACATTTGTCATAAGCCATTACTATATTCCAATGCGAAACTTAAAAAAAATCGGTAGTAATGTAAAATCATTAAAATGCCAAATATCGGGAGGTACAATTATATGGGGGCAATACGAAGACGTGGACCCGCACAGACAATTTTCTGTCTTAGGCTGCAGTATCCATTACGAACATCAAATACCAACTTTGAAACAATTCCGGTGGATAATGTCGCTAAAATTATCAAAAGACAGAATTTCGAGACATGGGGGCTATACGATGACGCGAACCTGCACAGACAATTCTCTGTCATAGGCTGTAGTATCCAAAATGAAGTTTAAATACAAAATTTACGAAATAATTCCGGTAAATAATGTCGCTAAAATCATGAAAATTGAGAATATCGGGAGGTACCGCTATATTGGAGCTATACGAAAACGTGGACCGACATGGCCCACTTACGAACTTAAACTACCTACGGGTAAACTATGCATGTATGCAAAATTTTGGCCTTCTATCTCAATTCGTTCGAAAGATAGCGGGATTACAACAGACAGACAGAGGCACACACAGACAGGCGGACATCGCTAGATCGTCTTAGAAATTTAGGCTGATCTAGAATATATATACTTTGTAGGGTCTATTATGAATATTTAGATGAGCTACAAACGGAATGACAAAGTGTGACGGTTTCATTGGCCGTTTGAAGGCCATAATTCGTGCCTAAGGTGACCAATTCGAACAAATCTAAACTTATTCAAAATTTGATGCTATTTCCGACATTTTTTGCTTTAATTGAATAAAATTAAAAATATATATAAAAATTATGCTGTTTGACTTTGTTGCTGTGTTTTATATTTCACCCTGTATATTTCTTGG